AGGACTCACTAATTCAAGGGACACAGCAAGACAGCTCCACCTCAAGCAGCCAAGATGCAAAGCACAATGGAACCTGTCCTCCTGCACCAGCGTTTTTTCCATATGCACAGTCCAGTGTGCTCTTCTGACAGTACTGTAAGATATTCTGCCCTTCAGAGCATCCAAATTGACCTAGTTTACACCATGTTGGAGTGAAAGAGGAGCACTCAGCACCAGTGAACATGCTGGTGCTAAACAGGCAATCACTTCCTATAACGCACGAACTCAACTGGAAAAGTACATTCTAATAGAATACCTCTGGAGACTTAAGTTAAAGAAGTTAACCTTCTTTCTGCATCATTGCCAATCGGCAATGCCAAACATCAGAGATATTTATGAGAAAACTATTGATTACACTATGATTTAAAAACTCCAGAAGGTCTTCTGTATGTCAGAAAATGGAGCAGGACACTAGAAACAATATTAAAAGGCTGGTAGAGTGAAGTATGCACAACAGGATGATGGACTTTTAATCACAGGGGAGAGGGGTATTACAGCTCTGAGCTTTCTGTATTCCAGCCTTGTGTTTGTTCCTGGTAAATATTGCAGGACTCTGATGTACCTACCCATCCTTCAGCACAGTTAGGCAAAATTAATGTGAAAATCAGGCTGTTCTCCAACCCTCAGAAAATGAAGTTTTACACCTTTTCAGGAAGGCAGAGCTACAGAGGAAGATACCAGAAAAGGGAGCCCAGACTTTCAGGATTGCCTGGAGATGGGAAGAGCAAGAGATGAAAACATGGTAAAGGGTGATGCCTCAAAATGGAAAGCAGTGGGGTTGGAGGAAGCAGTGGGGACTGGGCAAGACTACAGTCAGCAATCTGGGCTCTCACAAGAACAATGTAATGAGTGCCTGTGTTCTAAGGACAATCCATACAATGAGGATCAGGAAGGTGCCACTTCCATGCAATGCAAGGAGGATGCAGCAGAGCTGGACATGCATGCCTTGAAGTAACACAGAGCAAACAAGCGAGGCAGAAGATTAAGGACAACCTAGTATGTCAGTGAGGCTCATTTTACACAAAGATACTGGGATAATTTCCTTAAAGCTGCTTAAGTCAGCAGCAGAGGACCCAGAAAAGGCTTTACTTTTACCAAAAAAAAGCAGCCATTGTGTTCTTCTTTTGCTCTTGAAACAAGTTCTAGAAATTCTAAAGCAAAAGCAGTAATTTCTATGACTGAGGTTCAGGAATGGGTATGTTGCATGGGTCAAAGTATGTGTTTGGTTTTCTTTCACGTGTCAGATTTGGCACTGTTTGACCCCGTGCAAAGCTGATTCAGCCCACACTGCCAGGAGAAAACAAACCTTTTTTTTAGAATTGTTCTTTGGGTGTTTGGCGGGGAGGGGAGGGTTTGCTACTCAGTTTTTGCTGGCTTGAGCTTGCTAAGCACACAGATGAGCACCAGAACTAGCATGACACAATCCGTGGCAGTGTGTGTCTGGGACCATCTCTTTTGGCAGAAGCAAGCTGTTAAATGAGCTCAGTTGCCTCATGACACCTCACTGAACACAAAAAAGCAAGTGACAGGCTTTCCAAAAAGCTATTTGTTTCACCAGGAATTCAAAACCAAGCTTCTTCCAGCAGCTGTTGGGAAAGACCAGATTTGCATAGCAACACAGGCAGTATTTGTACAAGGCCTTTTTGTGAAGGATGAGATTAGACCTCTGGTACACAGGAGGGATGAAAGCTTTCTCCTCTCAGAAGCAGCAGAGAAAAGACTGTTTATCAATCGTAAGAAGCTATTTTCTTCCTAACAACAGCCATGGATTTATTTTCTCATATAACACGAATTATGGGGTATTTGGCCTTCATGTTTACTTAAGGAATTATTTTGTAGTATCCCCCACTTTTTTCCCCAAGGAAGCACTTTTAAGACTAAGTCATGTTACTGTGACTTTCTTTTTTCTTTTTGGTATTTAAATGTATTAACGGCAAAGTAATAAAAATCAGGACTGTAGCACAGCCAAGCCTAAAGATAAGTCTGTTCAATAGAGATCACTGTTTCCACAGCTGTTTCCAGAGGAGGAATGTATGTTTCCACATACAACAAGCACCCTTTATGTCAGTGAGTCTGAGAAGAGGTCTTGTCCAACCCAGCTAAATTCAGTTTCTAAAAAATATTTTCTTTTGCTAGAAGGCAGAAGGCTGGGCTTTTGCCAGCGAAAGTGGCCAGGCTGTGAAGGGGCGTGTGGACATGTGTGGTGCATCCTCCCAAGTCCCACAGTGGGAGGGGTCTGCAGGAAGATGTATGGTCCCAAGCCCTCCCACAACTTTGTGAGGGTCCAGGGGGCTTGGGCCTGCTTCTGCTCCATGTAATGCATCCAAGGCAGGGCGATGGACAATGGACAAGAGAGGAAAGGAGCCAGACAGGGGGCATCACACAGTAAAGACCAGAGCACTTGTGGGCATCATTGATCACAAATATCCCAGATAAAACCAGACTGAAGACAGCAAAGGAGAGAACATGTTTTACATGTGACAGCTTTATCAGTATTTGAATATCATTGATGAGACCCTTCTTCTAAAGCCATTTTTTTCTTTCCCCCCACCCCCATCTGAAAATGACCAGCAGCTTCAACCTGGAAGGTAAAAATCAGTACAGGAGCTTATCAGGAAAGGCTGCAATCTCCCACCTGGGTAAACAGAAGTGTTTGCCACAGTTGCCCCCAATTATTATTGCTTCTTTGTGAATTGGCTTGTCTGAGGGAATGTTTTTATACTCAATCAAAAAACGTTTACCCTCAAGAGTATCTCGCAGGGATTCAGTAACATGGCTACAGCCGAAAGGGAAAGGATAAACCATTCAGCAGCTTATATGCTACGTTCTGTTTCTGAGGTCAGCCACGGCACGGGTGAACTGCTTTAGGTTAGATAAATTAAAGTTCAGCCTAACTGCCCACAGTGACAAGTTGTTCTCTTGATCAAGTTTAAACACTGGCATTTTTCCTGGCCCTGCCCCTGTCACTCATTTGCTTGAAATATTTCCTACTTTGACCCCTAAAAAGCGTAACTTCTTACTTTTAAAGGGAACTTCAGAAAGCAGTATGTTTATTTGAATTTTCAGTATTGATTCTGTCCCTTCCCATCTAATACAGAGAAGGACAGAGAGACTTTCAGGCCTAGCTGCTTTCCCCAAAAGCGTATGTCATGACATATTTGACATATCTCAAACCAAAAAAGCCAGGATTTGGTGCATAAAGCCCTACGTTTGTACTGCTGTGCCCACAGTCACCCTGTCCTCATACATCTCCAGTTAATAAGCAGTTAAAACCTGCTCACTTGAAGAAAATAGTAGGAAGGGGCCTACTCATTTATCCACAGGGGTCAAACAACTTGGAAGAGAAGAAGGAGGAGGAGGAGGAGGAGGAGGAGGAGGAAGAGGAGGATGAGTAGGATGCATTTGTCTGTGACACCATGAGGCCAACATCACCCAGTTTTTGGGTGCAATTCACAAACATTATATGTTAACCACTGTTAAATATTTGCAAACCCTCCTGTGAGGGTCCCTTGAAATCACTGTTAGCCCCCAATGATAGTTTCTCATTAATAAAGGAAACGAAGAAGATGCAGAAACAAGGCAAGAAGGAAATCCAGAAACAAGGCAAGAAGTAGCACAGGAAAAATAGAGAGAATTAGGCGCATAAGTAAATATATCTGGCTACACTCTGCCACCCTTTATTTTAGGGCTCGGTACTCAGCTCAGAATACTTGTCATATTTGATAATTGTTTTGGCTGGTGATAACAATAGATTCACTTGGATTTATTAGAAACAGCATACTTTATTTAATACCAGTCTCTGGATATGTACCAATCCCAGCTGACAGCGCTCTCACAGTGTGTCTTTCCAAGCGAGAAATGAGGTCATCATGATTCATGTAATAATCTGATACAAACATAATCTGATACACATTTCATGGCAATTTGGAGAAGTTTTTAAAATTTGTAATTGAGGAACTTTTGGTTTTGGTTTGGAAAAACCTTTTTCTCTTTTTGGAAATCTGGATTTTTTCCACTTTGCAATTAGGATTTCCCAGGTGGAAGATGAAATTTTCTAAAATCCAGGAAGAAACTGTTTACTCACTTAACCGAACTCGAGTTCTGCTTTTTCATTCTTTTTTACTATGCTTTTTTTTTCCTTTTCTTACTGAAGGCGAGGAGCCTACACAGTTTGTTTCTGAACAAAGTGCTGCCCTTTTCTGGCAAGAAGGGAGTATTCTTTAATTAAGTGACATTCCAGAAAGTTTGCAATTAGAAAGGATCAAGGTACAAAGAGAGCAGCCTGAGGAAATGCTTTTGCAAAGAGGGCAGGGATTGTTGAACATTATGATGAGGCAAGAGAAATAGGTACAATAACTACGTTTATTTTCTTCTAAGCTCAGGCTCTGAAAAGATGGAAAATGCCCTATATTTACAAGAAGAATAAAGGAACCAGACAGATCCTTAGGCACAATATTAGATACTGCATCTGGACTTCTTGAATTACTAACTACAGAGGACAGAGCAGTTCAGGTAACACCTCAAATACCTAAATTAAAACCTTACCTACCTCTAGCTGTAGAAAAAAAGCAGCATGCAGACTACGAAGGGCATTCCTGGAAGGACCTCCAGGCAGAGATGGCCACATTTCAGCATGTGCAATTGCAGAACTCGTGGCTGAAGCAACTCCGCTGCAGAGAAGTGCAGGGACTCCCTCCACCAATGTGTCTCCAGCACACGAGTCTCTGCTGTCACATCAAGGCGGCCCACACAAGCCAGAGAGGAAGGTGGGGGTGTAAGACAGGGAACCACTGTCATTTTCTGGAGCCAAACCAGCAGGATCCTTTGGTCTGACACTTGCAAAGGGCAGCACAGCACAGTGAGCAACCCATGAGGTCACTAAGGGAGCAACTTCTGCAAAACTTTCCTGAGTCGCTTAAGAGATTTTTTTTTTCCACACAATAGTAATAAATAGCACTTACCCATGCCTGAAGGCTTCTCTTCTTCCAAGCCAAATAAAAATTCGTATTTGGCCTTGGCAACATTCTGGGCATGAGCCGATACATCATTATCCCGCACAAGTGCTTCTGCCTGTAAAGTCAAAATAAACAAAGCTTATCTACCTTTTAGTGAAGAAACAGCAGAAGGAACATGAAATCCCTCCAGGTACACTGTCAGGTAGCATTTTAAGTATTCATGCTATCACCACCAAGATCACCCAGAGTAGATGTGGGCCAACTCAGAGTGCTTTTGAAGAGCTCCTCTCTCTGTCTTTGAACCCAAGCATGTCAGTATCAGGCAGAGATATTAGAGCACCCAACCACTCTCATCTTTAGCCAGCTTACCCACCGAAAAGCCAGCAGCATGGGCCAGCTACCTCAGAAACACCAGTTAGGGTTAAAAATATCAGGGGAATAGTATCAGAAATAGCAAATTTGAGTATGTATGTCACAAAAGTGGGACCCAGGGGAAAATCATAAATGAGGCAGGCTGTTTCTTAGAAAAGAGAGTGGGGTAGAGAAAGGAGGAGCAAAGACTACAACCAGGATAATAAAAAAAGAGAAAAAGGATAAGGTATGCACACATGTGGAACCACTGTCTAAGGGTCCCTGTTGGGCAGCCCATGTGCGACTGTCTAGGTCAGGACAAGAGCCCAACTTGGTTTCAAAACCATACCACACAAGTCAAACCTGCTTATCTGGCCAGGAGGCAGGGACGGTGCACAGGGTGGTGAGCCCAGTTAGCAGGGGAATACCTGGAGGGGTGGATGGACAGATGGATTGAACAACCCATTCTACCCAGGCCTGGTTCCACCAGCACTTTCCCACTGCTCCCTTCTTGTAAGATGCAGTTTGACAGAGTAAAATCCAGTTTCTCAGAAGAGAGAAAGGCTGCAGGACTCTGATCAAAATATTTCTCTGAACAGGTAGGGACAAAACAAATTTCTAAGCTAAAGTACCAGCAAGAAACTGTAGTGCAAAAACTACCTAGAGTCAGCATTAAGTTTCTTCCCAGCTGGGCAAGATGGAACCTGTAATTCTTCTGTTTGAAGTGACAGATAAAATAAATCACTAACTCTATAAATTCTTCAGTAAACTCTATATTCATGCTTTATGTTTGAGGAAGTCAGTTGTTGTGGTATAGCAAGTCATTACATGGTTTGCATTGGTGAAAGCATTAGTTTATAAAAATACTCTTAAAAGAAAAGTTAAATGGAACATTCTGCCCCCCAGGACAACAATAACTTTCATGCATTTCTTTCAAATACCTTAGGAAGAGTCAGCTACAAACAGAAATTCAAAATACAAGAGACACATAATTCACAGGCACACACAGTCATGGCTCTTTAATCAGAGATGGATGGAATTCTTATGTTCCTCCAAGGCCACATGTCCAACAATCACGTTTTCTTCGAAGAGCATATTGATAAATAGCTACCTGGCCCTGTGTCCTAGAACAGTTTTGCTCTAGGTTTTCCTGGCCTTTTACCCCCATTTCTCCCTCTACTTTTCTGCACTGTGCAACACCACTCTGCCCTAAGTATAGAGCAGATCTTACAGAGAGGTCTTGGACTGATTTTTTTACCATTCACTAGTCCAACTACTCAGCACTAGGGCTTCCAGAACTTTGATGGAAGGCTAGCAAATCTTTTGAGAAAAATGTGCATATTTTTTCTCAAAAATGCGAGAAAATTAAAAAAATATGCTAGAAAAATCTAGCACAAAGATGACTATCACATGCATGACAAAAAGAGCTTGGAAGAAGCCTCCATGTCTCTCCTGCCTTTACAGGGCTGCATTCATTACTGCCAGGAAGGCAGGAAGGGCTAGAAAAGGAATAGCTGGAGCCAGAGCACACAGGAGAAGGCTCTTTGTCTGCAACAGCTTAGACAGGAGTAGTTTACGGAGCCAGACAAAAATTCAGTCTACTCAGATGGATGTGAAGGGATGGGACGGCTAACAACTAGCTGGTGCCAAATCCCGGTGACAGATAAATGAAATGGAAAATATAATGAACAGAGCAGTCCAGTTCTTAAATAGTCAGGAATTTCTGATCTATACCCCTCTGGGACACAGCTTCTCTATCCCTCAGCCTTACTCTTTGAGATTTCACAGACATCTGCTGCAACGGATGTCCCTGCCAGCAAACGCATTCCAAGGCTCTCTATTTGCCTTTACCTTATTGTAAAGCAATGAAGAAGATTCCAGTTCACAGCACCCTCTGCATCATCCAATAACAGGCACAAATAAATTGTCAAATTAATGGGGTTTCAGTGTATAGGGCATCCTTTATCAGTTAGGTGCCTAAACAGAGGCTGTAAGAACTTTGTCTTTGCATCCAAAAGGAATAACCTGATTTTCAGAAGTGCTCAACACTGCTGATGAGAATTACAGATACTGGCTTGTGTATAGGAACAGCTGAATTTAACATTTATTTAGGGTGTCGGAGCACTAAAAGGATGTGTCAAGAAAGTCCAGATCCAGGCTTAAGGGTAAGTTTATCATATTTCATCCAAACAAGAAATTTAAAAAAAAAGAATGCAAGAGAAGGAAATAATGAGGATGCTCTGGGGTCAGAGCAAGTTTTTAAGACTATTGCTTTACCACTGTCCAAATCAAGAGACAACATGTGCTCTCCTTTCCTTCTTTCAATCTATCACTCACCCAAGCTTTGCAGAAGTCAACATGCCCCAAAACCAGGAGCCCTAAAAAGGACAGGACAAACATTCATGGTGCTTTCAAGCTGCATTAGCAAAGATTAAATACAAGCAAGATTGAAAGGGATATAAAACTCCTGCTTAAGCCTTCTCTCTCAGCTCAAGGGTAAAGAAATCTGCATCCAGGTCAGCTCACTTCATAATTGCTTCCCTCAGAAGGGTTTAACTACCACCTTTGATGCATCTGGTCTCTTGTCACTGATGGAGAGGGTGACACTTAGAACGTCAATCCCCTTAAATCAGCCCAGCTGTACATACATTTCTCATGCGCCATATATATATATTACTTTTTGGTAAGTAGTCCCTGCCCAGTGATGCTCTGGGCAGAGAGGCAGCAAGCTTCTGCCCATTTGTGCATCACTCTTGCAGTGCTTTCTGCCTGTTTGAGCATGTTTGAGCAAGGCTACTTCTCTAGGTCATAGTTTTTGGTCAGGAGTTAGGAAGGCCACGTTTGCCTGTCAGCGAATTTTAGATAACATTGATGAGGCTGCATTAGTTTGGACTTGGCAGTCCTCATCCCTCAGACCTCCTGCCAACACACTGGACCAGTTTTCATTGACCTCACACAAGGCATTGGCATGGGTCAACAGAGCCCCCTTGATGGCCTTCTGTTCCGTGCTTAGGGAGCAGAGATTGTTTAAGATTTGCCCCTGGTGCTGGGGGTGGCTTCAGGCCAGCATAGGAAGCGAAGCTGATGAATCCATGTCTCAGCACTGAACTGAACAGCAGCAGGATGCTTAGACCACAGGGTTCCAGCTACTCCAGCAGGAGCTGCCAAGGACAGACAGATAAGTCAGCCCAGCACAAAGCACACACACTGCCTCTGCTCTGCTCTACTCTCTGGATGCATGAATGGAGCAGCGGGTCAGTATTTGAACAGAGAAAATGCTCTCACAATTCATCCTTGAGAGGTGTCTTCAGGCAGGCTTCTGATGAGAGCTGGGTGCTACCTTTCCTGAAGTACAGTTTCTCTCTGGATGGATTTGATTTCAACTCACGAGCTCTCGTCTAAGTGCCCTCCAAAAATGACAGTGTTTTTTAAACAGGTATAGTGAATCACAAAAAACTGAAGAAAATCCTTCTCCTTTCTCCACAGAACAAAAGCACCAAAGCATCCTCTTTTGACTTGTATTGAGGTTTTAGTTGGACCTTTTTTGGGACAAACTGTTTTTGTCTTGGTGCCTTTTTTTTTTTCTTTTGATACCTACATGTCAGACAGCTTTAACTGAAGAATATCAAAGCATTGTTATCTCACCACCATTTTCAGCAGAGCCAACAAGAGAGATGAGCTCCATCTCAGTGGAAGGGGTAACACTGTCCACAGTTGCTGTGACAGGGAATGGTTCAGTCTGAACACTGAATACATGTCAGTGTGAGCCCATGCCTCCTGAAGCATTTGCACTTAAGGTCATATGTTTTCTCTGAAAATGTCTAATAAGGAAGAAGTATTCAAAGGAGCAGATAATTAAATAGCAAATTTCAGTCTGGATTTTTTCAGACTCTCTGTAAGGACAGATGCTGTTAAGACAGACTGACTCCTTGCAGGAGACCTGGGAACACAGTGCTTGAGAAAAAGCAGAATGGGATAGGTGCTCAAGCATGAGTCTTGAGGGAGCAAGAGTCACCCAAAATTCTGAACAGAAGAGACTTAGGCTAAGGGAAGTATCAGCAGGAAGAGACCTAAGAACATTTCACAAAGAACTGTCAGCTGGGACAGAAAGGTCAAAGCGTACTCAGGCAGGTCCCCACAGCTAAGCCATACAATGAGGAAGCCTCAGTTTTACATGCTTTTGCATGTGCACAGCTCCTTTTCTCAGAGCTGACTGCCTTCCCCCTCAGCCACACCACCACCGGATATCAGCTCCCTGACAGCAGGCAACAGCCCCTGCACTGGCAGTGTCTTTTGGAGGTTTCATTGAGACTACTGGGGAAATGCTGCAGTACTGCAAGAAAGGAGAAAAAAGCTTTGAAGAATGCCTGTAAATCAGAGTCGGCTATAGAGAACTTCACAGCCACACCTGGACCATTTCTAATCCCAGGCTGTGTCTGTTACATTCTCATTGCTTCACCAACATCTCTAGCAGCAAAAAAAAAATTGCCTGTCATCACCTATCATATACCCTGATACAGTGAGTTTATGCTCTCAAAAGGAATGATGGATAGAAGGTTCTCACAGATTTTAAAACCTTCTTCTGTGAATTGCAATGTCATGGACAAGTCTTTACAGAATCCTGCATTGAGAGCTCTGCCTCTGCTGTCACATTATTCTCATGACCATGAGCTTAGCAAGCCTCACTGCTTTTGACAGGTCACACCAATTGTTCTGAAAATACTATGCCTGTTGAGCTTGTCTTAAATCACTTTCCTAAGTAAC